TGAACACTCAATGGCTAGAAAATGCTCATAATGCTGAGTTTCCTCTGGCACAGTGCTAGAGCAGTAGAATAAGTATTTTCAATTCATGCTTTGCGCAGTGGATGCCCTTCCAGCTGCAGCCCATCACTGGGAAACATCCATACACACTCATTTACACACATACACTACGGACAAACTAGCTTACCCAACTGACCTATAGCACATGTATTTGGACTGTGGGGGAAATTGGAGCACCTGGAGGAAACAAAAGCAAAAATGGACAGAACATGCAAACTCCACACAGAAATGCCAACTGACCGAGCAGAGGCTCGAACCAGCGACCTACTTGCTGTCAGGTGATTGTGCTATCCACTGTGCCACCGTGACACTAAATAATTTACTTCGTTTTAATTAAACATTTGTGTACATGACAGAAATCAAATGACTTTGTTTCATTACTAACAGACAGCTCGCTAAGCATTAAATAACTATTTTCCTCCTTTAAGTGCACTATGTTAGTGAACTAATGTGTGAATTGGGGTATCGGGGTGGTTTCGGATAATGCATTTAGGCATTTGCTGTGTGTTGTGTCATGTGATTGCTTGGTTAAAGTATCAAGCTGTTGGACAGGTAATGTAATGCTGAGGTCACATTTTTTCGACACACAGACTTCCATTAATATGCATGACAATGCAGCAAACCGGAAATGCAAGTTTGTGCAACAAGTTTTGCAGGTTGCTGCATTCCAAAGTCCAAGTTGCTGAAATCTGACCTACGTAACTGCACAGCGTGAATCCGTGAAACCAATAGAAGATCAAAACGTGACTTCTCTGTACAGAAATGTAAAATTCTGAGCAATCGTTTGCTTTATCCATATCTAATCATCTTGTTTTCAATTCATCTTTATCTCTACAGTGTTTTTACAATGGAGATTGTGTCAAAGCAGCTTAAGATAGATGTTGTAGTGAATTGAAACTGTCAGTCCAGTTGAAGTTCAGTTCAGTGTGGTTTAATTTTCAATTGTGAAATTCCAAACAATGAAGAGCAAATCTTCAATAACAGTGGCGTGGAACAAACTTCACCAATTAACGAAAGTGAAGGCAAAAAAAAAAACCTTCAGAGAAACCAGCCTTAGTTGGGGATTACCATTTCTCCTCTTGCCAAACTTCCTGTGCAGAGCTCCAGTCTAGGCACCGGAGGCTAAAGAACTCTGGGCGTCTAATGAGGAGAAGCTGCAGGTGTGAGAAGGTCACTGACTGATGTATAGGCTGGTCCACGGGATCAGTGTGGAGACTCGTCTGTGACAGGTCTTTCAGGACTCAGTATCATGCTCTCCACTCCACCATCACCACCACAGCATCTGCTCAGGATACGACCTGGTCAAAGATTATTAGTTTTATCATGCCTCTTGTCACATGGTCGTATGACAGTAATTCACATGCTTAAACTCAGTTTACTACATTTACATTATCAGACACCTTTATCCAAAGTGATTAGTGAACACATAGCCAGGGGGCAGTTGGGAGTTAGGTGGCTTGCTCAAAGGCATAAGTCTCCAACTCAATTCCTAGAGAGTCGCAGCTCTGCACAGTTTTGCTCCAACCCTGATCAAACACATCTGATTCTACCAAGGAAGTGGTTCATGACTCTCTTGAACACCTCAATTATTTGGATCAGCTGTGTTTGATTAGGGTTGGAGCGAAATTGCACAGAGCTGCGGCCCTCCAGGAATTGAGTTTGAGATCTATTTTCAAAGGAACCAACTATTCCCACCAACAATCCATGCTGGTACTGGGACTCAAATCTGCAACCTTTGGATCTCTAGTCCAACTCTCTAACCATTAGGCCATGGCTGCCCACTCATGTTGGCAACTCAACACTGCAGCATTGCAGGATCCCATGCAATAAACCGAAAGCCTCCAATAATTCGGGGCTAGACAGCACCTCAAAAAATCAGACAGAGTATCTGGCCAGGGTGTGGGTGTTTGCAGAGGCTGAGGAACCTGGATTGAGTTTTGTCTCAAACTTTGTTCAAAAAGATTCCGTTCCGTGTTTGTTGTTCTTGGCCGCATGAGTTATAAAAATGGGACGAGACACTGAGTTTTCGCGTATCCCAAACACACCATGGTTTCCTATCATTGTGTGGGAGAACTTGGGAAAATGCTCTTTGAGCTCAACAGGAAAAACAAACTATGGAGGTGACCTGATTGAAGAGCAGCAGATCAAGATGACTCCTTTGGAAAACTCTGCAGATGGTCACAGTTGTGATGAGGGAAGAAGTTTGGCAACTGACAATGGTGGATGCTGAGGTCTTTTTGAGGTTCGCTAACTGAATGGAAGTCACAGATAAAAGTTCCTAATACGAGGCTCCTTCCTCTTACGCTGGTTTTGTTCTTCAGTGTTGTTTCAAGTTATTTTTAGACAAAAAGTAAACTCCATTCACGCCTATTTGCCTTTTATAAACAGGAATCAATGGCTTGAAGATATTTCTTAGAACTCCAAATCCATCTGTTTTCCTTTTTAGATCAAAAAGAGGTCCTGAAAGTTCATCGGCCAACTGGTTCAATTCACAATTTAATCCATGTTCAAACTCTTAAACCACTCAAGTTCATACCTACAAATTTTAAATACAAGTTTGGACAACCTGACCCTCTTAAGTTTCACGAGCTGACTGTTTTCCACTTTTAATGATAACCAGCCCTTGTGATGCCAGGGAACTGAGACACCCGCGCCCCTCTCTCCAGTTGAGAAAGAAAACTGAACTTTGAAATATCAGGGCACAACACAGCAGTAACCACATAACTTGTACCACGGAAAAGAAATCACCTGCTGGCTCATTTATCTTTAAGCTGAAAAAACATACACCATTAAATACAAACTAATTCTCGTGATAAGAGCACACGTGCATAGAGGATGCAGATGGCAAATAACCCTGATGAATATAACCTTTAAATTAAGGTCATGAAGTTCGTGAGTATTACTAACACACTTGCCCCCTGCAGATAATACTCCCCTGGTCTTTTGAGACGGATACCTTGTGACATGCAAGTATTTGTCTTTGAAATGCGAAAGCTTGTGGGTGAAATTTAAGATGTTGTTTTGTTTAATTTGAGAACCAATATCTTTGAAGGCCAAAGGGAATGTCACATGATTTTTTTTCAAGGGTCTACTTGAAAACAGGAAATTAGCAGGGACAACTTTGTTATTTTTTCATAAGTTTCTTCAGACATTATGATCAAAGAATTGTCAAGAGGTGAATGAGAAATGGCAGCTAATGGTACTTCACGTCTAGCCAGGGATTCTGAATATATTTAAAACTGAAAATAAGCATTTGGAAAAAAACCGTCTAATCATTCTAGAGGAAAAACTCATTATCCAGTTTCCTAACCAATTGTTCAAGTTCAAGGCGAATTGCATTGGGTTTGTATGGATTGTGATAGAAATGCCAAACTAAAAATGTGTAAAACTTAAAAAAATACATCAACATATTCCACTTTACTATACTATGAGGGTATAAAAATCTAATTTTATTAATTTAAAAAGTTTATTCTGTTTAGTATTATTTTTTAGACTTAGTAGTCCTCATTTGTATTCAGCTGTAAAGATGTGAAAAAACAAATATGGCATTGTTTTGGTCTGCCCTCTGGATTTAATTAATTGTATATCCCATTATGTTTACACTAAAGGTGCTAAGATATTCTCATTTCTCTACCCTGATCTATTTACAAGCCCCCCCCCCCCCCCATCCCCTCCCCTCCCCACATGGGTGTTTTAAACAACTATTAAAATTTTATTATTTTTTATTTTGTTTACTAGAATGTTTCTACACCAGCAGTCACCTATGGAGCCAGATCAGTCTAAAAAATATAACGTTTACAAAATAAGATTCATACATGCACAGCACAATTCACATTTACAAAATCTAATTTGTAAATAAAATAAACAATTCATAAATTCAACACACAATTCGTGAATTCAAAAATTTTTTTTTTGCCAAATGAATTGGATTTGTGTATTTATGAATTGTGTTTTGAGTTTACTAATTGAATTTGTGTATTTAAAAATCGCATTTTGAATTTTACAAATTGGATTTGTGTATTTTGAAATCATGTTTTGAATTTGCAAGTTGGATTTGTGTATTTATGAATTGCGTTTTGCATTTATAAATTGGGTTTGTGTATTTATGAATTGCGTTTTGCATTTATAAATTGGGTTTGTGTATTTATGAATTGTTTTGAATTTATGTATTGGATTAGTGTATTTATGAATCGTGTTTTGAGTTCACGAATTGGATTTGTGTATTTATAAATCGCGCTTTGAATTTATGAATTAAATTTGTGTATTTATGAATCGCATTTTGAATTTACAAATTGTATTTGTGTATTTACAAATCACATTTTAAATTTACGAATTGGATTTGTGTATTTATGAATCGCGTTTTGAATTAGTGAATTGGATTTTGTACATTTGAACTGTTGTGAATGTATGGATTATATTTTGTAAATGTATTATTTTTGAGACTGATTTGGCTCTATTGGCTCCGCTCATTATACTCCTTTTTAGAAAATGCTTATGCATTTGTCATACAGACCTTTTTCATATTGTTTACATTTGAACAAAAGTTAGAGGCATAATTTTGGCAAATCGTCATGGGTGTAGGAAAAACTGCAACTTTGAAAGTACTGTATAGAGTCTAGTTTATCATGCTATTTAAAATGTCAAGAGAATGTATCGAATAGACTTACTGGTTATTATATAGCTCTAATAAGAACATTATTTATACAAATCTCAAATGGAAACTGAACAATAATCTAAAACTCTAACCTGCTCAACCTGCTTGATCTCTCAGAACAAGAATTTTTATCATGAAATGAATGTAGACACTAGAGGGCGACGAGCACAGCACAAACAGATCTCTAGATCCAGTGACGCGGTGACGCGCCTTTATTAGGAGGAAAGAGGCAGGCCGAATCAGGGGATGCTTTTGTCCGCCTCTACAACGTTGACACACTTCAGATACCACGTTTCTGTGAGTCAGAGCAGACTCCACGGTATCAACGTGAATCAGCCGAGCCCATTCTGAAGGAGCTGAACGGGTCGTTTTCACACCTAATACCCAAGTACAAAGCGCGTTGCTTTGTTTGACAAGAGGACGCGATGTCCGGGCTAAAGAAACGGAGTTCAAATGCATCCACGGAACGGGATGAAGACGACAAGCAGGTGACGGAGAAGATGCTCACAGGCAGGGGTGGAAATGGGAACACGAGCCCGTCAGGAGACATCACGCCTGGAAGCCCGAGCACAGATATCAGCCCTGCGGATGGAGAAGAGACAGTCGTGCTGAAAAGAACTATAACTCTGGTGAACGGCGTGGCCATCATTGTGGGCACCATCATTGGCTCTGGCATCTTCGTGACCCCAACCGGAGTGGTGAAAGAAGCCGGTTCGGTCGGGCTATCTCTGGTTGTCTGGACTGTGTGCGGCGTCTTCTCCACTATAGGCGCGCTGTGCTACGCCGAACTAGGGACCACTATCACCAAATCAGGGGGTGACTACGCTTACATCCTTGAAGTTTACGGCTCCCTGCCTGCGTTTCTGAAACTGTGGATCGAGCTGCTCATCATCAGGCCGTCCTCGCAGTATATTGTCGCATATGTTTTCGCCACTTACATCCTGAAGCCAATCTTTCCTGTCTGTCCCGTCCCTGAAACAGGGGCTAAGCTGGTGGCTTGTCTGTGTATACGTAAGTAAACTGTTACCTACACTGTTAAGCCTCTTAAACTTTAAATGCTTTATTTAATTTATGAATTAAATCACCAAAATCACACTATTCTAAGTGAATTTTCTCAGTTGACCGTTTGTGACGTTGGACTTTAACTTACCTCAGCTGTCATTCGCGCGCTTCTTTGCTTCTATCATCTGTCATAGCAATTGTAAAGAAATAAATTATTTAAACTACACGTGTGATAGTAAATGTGTAATTATAGACGAGGACGCTACGTTTCAAAACTGAAAAGGCGTGTTTTGACTATAGGAGGAAGTGAGGATGCTGAAAATGTTCAGACGAATTTCATCATGCAGTCGATGCAACTGGAGGAAGTGGCACGTGCTGCTACATCACCTTGGCGGGCTTTATGCAAATTAATTTTATTTGTATTGATAGGAATTTAGCTGTAAGTTCATACTGTACTTTGAGGATAAATACTGATAATTTGTTAAAAAAGTAAGTCCTATTTTTAGAGTAAAAACATTTTTTGTTATGTTTAAGTTGCTGTTAACAGCATAATATCTTTGTTTGTTTTTTCAAATAACATTTTAATATGCACACTAATTAAAATGTCTGATATGTTGAAAATTTCTTGTACACCGTTAGGTATTTTTAAATATCCTAAATATTTTGCTACAGTACTTTCAACTTCTTTGCGAGTTAAAATAGGTTTTAAATTTGTGCCTTTTTTATGAACAATAAGCCTCTATACCCATCTTTAATCCACCGAAAAGTCAATTTAAAACTTTAAAAATGTGTTTGGCCATCACAGCCATTTTGACAGTGAGCTTATTTTACATTCTAACAACAATCAGAGCACTATTCAAATATTCCCTTTTATAGTTGGCAGTACATTTCTAACAGTGAGAGTAAATCCCCGAAAGAGTTAATGAATGTTACCCTGCAGCACTACAATCACAAATCTTTGACATGCATGCTCATGGCAATAAGTTAAGGGTGTGATTTACCATGGCAGCCATGCGAGCAATGCAGCCCTCCCGCAGGTTTAAACCAGCCAGGATTAGCAGAATTAGCTCAAGCCCTAATTACCAATCGGCCAACAAAATATAACTCATATTTCTCCCTTTCTGTCCCTGTCTCTTTCTTTGTCACCCATTGCCTCTCTCCACCTCCTTTTTCATCTAGGCCAGATGAATGCTTGATTGGGGTACAGGAATTTGTATTCTTTGTGATTGTGAGGGAATGAATGAACACAGCACTTACTATTCGCTGTAATCTTGTCCTGCTAGTGACTTGTCTAATCCTACCATAAGAAGCCACATGACGAGACAGAAAGGGAGGTAAAGACGACTACGTCCATAGGCTTAAGCTGAGCAACTACAAGTTATGGGATTTACACATCTGATGCAAACACTGAGAGTTCAGCCCAAGGTTTATAGCCAGCATCCTCATGCACTCAAGGTCTGTTGGCGTAGCAGCCGACCACTCTTTCTCTGACCTGTTTTATTATGTGTTTTGAAGTTATGATTGCCTCCTGGATTGGTTCATTGCTTCGTATCCATGGGAGAGGCCCCCAGAGTGGGACCATGTTCATGCCGTTAGGGAGTTCAGGGATGAGCCTGTCTCATGATCCTTCGTTTATTAAGAATGAGAGCAGCAATGCCCAACAGTGTAATACAACAGTGTGTGCATGTGTTCTTTGGTGAGGCGACTCAGGCCCTACTGTCCTACCCGATACAGACCCCCTTTTGTACTTTAAGGGTGCACAAAGGCTGTCAGGCTTCGCCTCTCTGTTTGGTGCCCAGACCGATTTACAGCTAATGCTGCTTTGAAGTATTTGTTAGTTAATCACATTTAATAGGGAGCTTGGAGGCAGGGACCAGAGGCTGAAGCAGCTCATGATTTTTATTATTCCCTGAAAATCTGTTTACCAGTAATTGGTCAATGAACAATTGAGTTTCATGCAGAACATTGGACCTGTGGCTGCTAATATTAGGTTCACACATCAATTGATTTTCCAAAACAATTATCCTGTACGAAAACACCGTACCTACAGATACTGTAATATCCAGTTTGTATATGCTCACAAATACATCATGCAAACCTGACACAGACAAGCTCCTTAGCTGAAACTTAATTGTTGCGGTATCCATTTAAGTCACTGCTTTATTTATAAAATTGTAATAATTTATGTAATAGCGTCACATATAGAGAAAAAATAAACATGACAAAAGGAAGAACCATAATGAGGACTTAAAAACATGACTAAATGAGGAACTAAACAAGACACAGGTGAACATAATCAATAATCCCATGATTAACTATCTGCTTGTTTAGTCGTGACATATGAAATACTGTTCCTGTTCTGGGTCCAAGCCGCTGCTCATTTAAATTGAGAAAATATTTGTATATGTCACCACTTTTTTTTTTCCATGTCACACATTAAAATCAATTTTATATAAAATAATGGTGAACACAACAGTCTCTGGACTTGCTGCATTACAGACACCAATATTTTGACCATTTATAAAAAATAATCACTTTCTGGCCATTTTATATTAGGCATGTATGTATATATATATATATATATTAGAGGTGTGAACCTATACTGGTCTCACGGTTCGGTTTGGTTACGATTATCATGCCTTCGGTTCGATACGATATCACGGTGCATTGACGATGCTTTCCATATACAGTGTTATATTTTGGGGGGAGGCTATAACAAGCTGTCTGTATAAACACACAGACACACAGTACCACACTATCTCTCATTCAAACACATACACAAACATAGACAGCACCAAAGAAACAAACAAACACACACACGCACGTACGCACGCACACACTTAAGCCCTCGCAACAGGGAGAGCTCGCGCTGAGCGGAGCAGAAAAACGAAATAAAGAAAAATAAAGAAGCACTTTTCCGACGGTCCCTTACTGAGAGCTCCTCTCAGTGCGAGCTCTTCCGGCTAAACAAATATTGCGAGGGCTTAAACGGAGCAGTGGTCGTAATATCGAGCGAAAAAAAATAAAAAGACAGCTGTGAAACATAACCAGCTTTGTCTTTTTGTAGGAAACACACTTTAGATCTTTTTAGGGTAAGAGGTTTTTGAGTTATTGCCGTCTATAACTGAATGTGTGTCAGGAATTTTGAAAACAAAACCAACTGAACCGCGTTCCTTTCTGGCGCCCCCCTGGATATACAGCACCCTTAGCATTTGCCTATGGTGCCTATGCCTCGGACCGGCCCTGAGTTGGCTGAGTATTGTAAATACTCGCGCTCACCTCCCTCGCGACAGAGCACACAGGAGATAAATGACGTCAGTACCCAATAACCGGTTATGATTATTACTGAACCGATACCTTATTGTCCGCGTCTGCATCGCGGTGCACCGAAGAAACGATTAATTTTGACACCCCTAATATATATATATATATATATATATATATATATATATATATATATATATATATATATATATATATATATATATATATATATTTATTTATATATATATATATATATATATATTGCGATCGTGATTTTCAAAAGTATTTCATTGGTTTATTTCGAAATTTTGAAAAACATCATGATTTTCGAAGTATTACATCGATAAACATTTATTATTACCATTAACTTGATTGGACCTGGAAGCCACTTCGCATGACGTCACACCAAACAAGGGAATTGAAACAAACAGGAACAAGGAAAATTTGTAAAAAGTTTTAAAAATATTGCATTTTACAATTTAATAAAATTTTCACTCATTTATTTTCTTGTCGGCTTAGTTCCTTTATTAATCCGGGGTCGCCACAGCGGAATGAACTGCCAACTTATCCAGCAAGTTTTTACGCAGCAGATGCCATTCCAGCCGCAATCCATCTCTAGGTTATAATAAAATTTTGTTAAATTAATTTAATTCAAAGAGTCAAAATAATTGTGAAATTTTTTTATGTTAAATCATGCGTCTTACAGCTAACAGCAAAATTGTATTATTATTTTTATTAAATGTAATCACAGTTTTTATCAGCAATAAAAATGCATTTTTTATTTGTTTGATTATTTGATTTGTCATGACAAACGGATGAACCATAATGAGGACTTAAAAACATGACTTAATGAGGAACCAAACTAGACACAGGTGAACATAGTCAATTATCCCATAAATAACTATCTGCTTGTTTAGTCGTGATGTATGGAATACTGTTTCTGGGTCCAAGCCGCTACTCATTTGAGAACATTTTCGTTTATGACCACTTTTTTGTCATATCACACATTAACGTCAATTTGATATAAAATCATGGCATACACAACAGTCTTTGAACTTGCTGCATCATAGACATCAATATTTTCTGTGCATCGGATATTAGTCATGGATTGTGTATTGTGTATCATGTATTGTGATCGTGATTTTCGAAAGTATTACATCGCTTTATTTCAAAATTTCGAAAAACATGATTTTCGAAGTATCACATCGATAATTTTGTATTACTACCATTTGATGAGTCTCCCATACAGTATGATAGAGCGCTTAGATCTTGAGGCCGCTTTGCGAGACGTCACACTTAAAAAGCGGATTGAAACAAACAGGAACAAGGAGAATTTTAAATAGTATTTAGAATGTTACATTTTACAATTTAAATTTATTAAATAAACTTAATAAAACAAAATTAAAATAATTGTGAAATTATTTTTAGGTTAAATCATGCGTCTTACAGCTGACATAGTTAGTTTAAACTTATTATTCATTTTCATTTCACACACACATTTCACACATTTCATCCCACAGCGGAATGAACCGGCAACTTACCCAGAATATGTTTTACGCAGTGGATGCCCTTCTAGGCGCAACCCAACACTGGGGAAACACCCACAGACTCTTACATTTACGCACATACACAACAGCCAATTTAGCTTATTCAATTCACCTGTACCACGTCTTTGGACTGTGGGGGAAACCGGAGCGCCCGGAGGAAACCCACACCAACACAGGAAAAACATGTTAGTAAAAACTCTGTATTATTAGTTTTAATAACATGTAGTCACAGTTTTTACCAGAAATAAAAATCCAATTTGTTTTGCTTTTCCAAAATCGTTGCCCACAAGGCTCCCTGCCACGACAAGTCCAATCAATCTTATCCAGGACCGTGTGACATCAGTAGGCTTTCTTTTAATCGCATTGAAACAGAATTAAAGAAACCAAAATTGCAAACTAAGTGGATGGAATAAGTAGGGCGAGACATTTGAGTATGATTCAGGTAATCACCTGCAGATCCACCCTGCAATACAATCAAAACCCATTAGCCAGATTAAAGCTTGCTCTTGTATATAGTACTTACAGTCATTTGAACCTACATGTGGACCCAACCTTTTTCAAGATCAGGCAGATTTGTTAGTTTACCATGCATCTCCTCTTTTAGTAAGTACAAATTTGGCGGTACAAATTTTAGCAGGACACTAAAGCATGCTGCCACGTGTAAATATGAAAAGGCAACAACTCTTTGCTGATGACACCTCTCAAGTTAAAGCGTGGCTCACAAATTGTACCCTAATTAGTTTACTAAGTATTTAGGTTAACTTCCTCTGAGCCTCTGTTGTGAAAGACTAAAAATAAGTGTTCTGTTTCTCCCATCTCTCCCAATAGTGTTGTTGACCGCTGTCAACTGCTACAGCGTGAAGGCCGCCACAAGGGTTCAAGATGCCTTTGCCGCTGCTAAGCTACTCGCCTTGGGCCTCATCATCATTATTGGGTTTGTGGAGATCGGCAAAGGTGAGTAGCACACAAACACACACACTGAATGAACACCAGCAGTCGGTCAGGTCAATAAAGGCAAATAATCATTCCCTATAATGTGTCACGTAGGTTTGCATGCTGTTAGGTAGGCCCTGGCGTCAGTGTTTGTTTGTTTTTGCTATGGATACCATGTACTGTTCCAACTATTTTCATTACAGTGTCTCTCACTGCTATTCAGCCAGGTGGAAAGTGTCTGCAAACTACATATATTTTGAAGCCAAATTCAACATTTATCTACAAAAAACTTTTCCTGGAATTAGTGTTTTTGAAGGATTGTTAGTGAAGATATTGACCTTTTGCTAAAACTGAGGAATATCATGTAGTGTAAAATACATAATTTACCCTTAATAGTAAATGGACTGATTCTCTGGACTTATGCAGAATCTAAATAAGTATTTATCTATCATCTATCTCTCTGTTTACTCAAATAGAAGTTCATTAAAACTATATCAACAATTACCGACAGTTTTGGGGAAAGATACTTTTGAAATGTGTTACAATATTGAGCTACTCCCAAAAAAAAGTTACTATTTGCGTTACTTTTTAGGGTAAGTAATATGTGATGTTACTTTTGAGTTACTTTTGTGTTATTTTTATTACTTTGATGAGGTGATTTGATTACTTTGATTGATCTCTTTCAGAACTTTGTTTTTCTTTATTTCTTTAATAGAGAAGCTCTGCAATGAACAATGCACTTTATAACCAGCTTGATCTGGAGGAAACGTAATAATTTTACGCTTTGTCAATTTAGTAGCTATGCATGGGCCGGTATAAGATTCTGACTATATGACAACCTTGAATAAAATTATCACGGTTTCATAGTATTGTGATTACTGCTCTAAAATATATTCTTTTTAAATGTCTGGGTAAAAAACAAAAACTTTTTTCCCTTCTGAACATATATTTTATTGTGAGAAATATTTCTAATATTCTAAAGCAGTAAATATGTCAGGCTGAATAATTCAATAATTCAAATGAATAAATGACTTCTGCTGTCTTTGTTAGTTTCTGAAACGGATTAGTTTTTTACAAATTAAAACGGCATCTTTTGATATCTTTTCTGCTGGAGATACTGTTGTCCTAAAAAACAAATAAGAAAAATTGTACACATACCTCAGGGACAGTAAAGCAGAAAATTTTTAAATACTTTGAAAACGGTTATCGTTCCATGCCTATTCGCTAATTTGTACGAATTCGAAAAGAAGGCGTGCCACTGAATCCTGCCCCTAAACCCAACCGTCATTGGGGGATTAGCAAATTGTATTAAATTGTACGAATGTGAACTTACAAATACATACAAAGTAGCCACTAAGTCAAAAAGTTACGAATTGCCATGAGATCGTGTTGGTATAACCTAAACCTACATTTACCTTTAAAAAAACATTAAAAAAAAAATTTTAGGAAAATTTTATGAGAACTTCCTGACACCAGAGCTACATATGCCGCACATATAGATTAGAGTTAAAAATATTTCCCCCACAGTCTAAAGACATGCGGTACAGGTGAATTGAGCAGGCTAAATTGTCTTTCGTGTGTATGGATGTTTCCCAGAGATGGGTTGCGGCTGTAAGGGCCGCAACCCAAAGATAAGTAATGCACAAATTACCACCTGTCAATCACTTTTTTAGCAAGACTCTGGCATGAATAGGCAGAGTGATCTGTGTCGTTATAATAGCGTCGACAAACTTGCTTGGTAAAAAATGTTTACAACCAACAGGAACCAACCAACAGCATCTGAGGTTTTCACTAAAGTGACAAAGTACAAGCGTGAAAGCAAAAAATTGAAGCAGTGTACTGATGCTGTGACACACCACCTGATAGATTCAAAAGACCGAAGAATAAAAATGACCACAGATCTAAAAATAATATCAAATTGACAAAAAATTCTATAAACTTTACAAGTTTGCATACAAACCTTATAATTACATTATTTTTTTAATTAAATGTTTAATATTCTATTACTGATTTTATATGGACCATTTTGAGGGATGTAAACAAAATCAACGGTTCCATTTCCTGTTTTACATTTTTAATTTCTATAGCTTCCGAGAATCCAAAAAGAGCCACATATCGATAAATAATGTTATGATAGCTGTTTTAACATGAAGTTATGATTGAATTGCCTCTTGTTACAGTTATGAAATAGTTTGATAGCAAGCAGGAAATGTTCATGGGCCAATGACATGACCACATTAAAATGGTCTATAGAGAAAATAACATAAATATACGGTTTACTTGCCTATTTGATTTAGCAGTCTTATCCCTCAGACACTAATTTATGTTGGTACTTCATCTTTTTTAGGACTTTCTATTGCTGAATGTGCCGCCAGAACAGCAGCACTGATTGTTTGCCACTGAGACATTAAAACACTGACGGCAGTAGTCTAGAGAACGAGTGAGGGGGAAAAAGCAGTCAAAGATTTGTAGTACTAGCTGAAAAAACCTTCCTTGACATGACCTACAGTAGTTTCTGTTTAAACAGTCAAAACCAGCAACTGAAATTTATAGTTTCTAAGAGGAACAACATGCACATTTCTGCTTTTTGTGCCCACTGTTTCTGTAATAACTTTTTTTCTGTTTACTGATTTCAATAAGGGGATTTTGCAGTCTGAGATGTAGATTAACAAAGGTCCATTCATTTCATCATGCACAAACAAAAGCCTGGAGCTGGTATTACTGACTCAGTTGTGAGTCAGCTAGAAAGGACAGGTTAATTTGAAAAGATTATTAGCTTTTCTTTTCATCTTTTATCTCCCCTGCATCCACTTTTACTGCCCACAGAAGCAGATCTGTCTTGACAGGCCGCAAAATTATTTTTGAAAGAAAGAAAAATGGGAATGCTGATTGTCGATTATTGAAGCCAGTAGGGTGCGAGTCTTTTAATTGGCCTTACTCACTCAAATTTGGCCAGTTTTTGGACTTGCCTTTGGGTGTGGGTTTTTTTGTGTGGTTAAAGGATTAGTTTACACAAAAATTGAAAATTTTCACATAAAACGAAAGTGGAATAATAGCGAGTAGTGCTGCTGCATGATGTTGGAAGAATCTAACATGGTGATATTTATTTTTTTTGTGATATATATTGCGATATGAATACAATTTCACCAGATGACCTGAATATTAGACTTAAAAATGAACTAATTTTCTTCTCCACCTGCACAAATGTGCGCATGCGCAAATAAACAAATCACTCTCTAAGAGGATTCATCGTTTCTATCAAACAGAAATTCAGGAAAAAACATACAGGAGGGCTAATAAGTCAGGATTTTTATTTCAATTATATATCAAACTCTTATTTTGGAAATTGTTAATCTCAACAAAGTTACTATCGATACAGATGCAGCATTTCTTACGTAACTAATGTTTTCTCTAAAACTCAAGGCTCCAAGAGTTTTCCACTTGTAATTACGAAACTGGTGGCCTTTATTTTCGGAAATGAATTGAATTTCAACTAAAAGTCCTGAATTACTGACATAAAGCACTCTACATAGGCATAAACCTCATAATCTGATTCAAATTTTCTCAAAAAAAAAAAAATATTTTTTTTTTCTGCTTGTTCAAACTACTTATTTGAAATGAGTTAAAACAGCACAATTCTTACGTTTTTTGGAACAACTTAATTGTTATATGTTCAATCCAATTCAGTTTGAAATAATTTTAATCAGATTATGAGGTCGATGCCTTTATAGAGTGCTCCACGTCAGTCATTCAGGACTTTCAGTTTTAGTAGGTCTGCATTTAACGGCCTACTTTGACTGAAGACACCAGGGCAGCTGGGCGTATTTGTGTGCGACTTAGATAAGCAAATGCAAAGCAATCGTGAAAACAGCATGCCTTGTGAATCAAGACCACAGATATACACACCCTCGCTGTCCTTGTAGAGAGAATGACAGAGGAAGATATGTGGATGACTGAATTGACAACCAACACATGCAGGATTACCGATGAAAGAGTTTAATTCACACCGTGACATTTCTCTGTGCACAATGTGGCTTCTGTTTGACTTAATAGACTTATCTCCTTTAGAAATTTGGAAAAGGTCTCAGCGTGTCTCTTTGTGCTGGTGTTTGTTTTGAGGCACTAGTTCTTAATTCTGTTACCACACCTGCCGAGTCATTGCTAAAAAGTTAATACAACAACCTGCCGAGTCATTGCTAAAAAGTAGCTTGCAACAAGACACCTCATGGTTACTCAAGCATCTCGAGCTCCGCTGGGACGTCAGGGGAATCCACCGTGCATCTAAGACTCCACCAACTTGTTCTGCGTAAACATTGCAGGTGGAACTTTTTTGGGGACCTCAAAAAAAGGGTTTAAGGGTTTGTTTGCACCAGTAAATGATGCTAAACAGAAGCTATGCTTTTTAAGTATTGGTAATTAGGCCTATACTGTATGCTGACAAGTAGGAATTTCTTTGTTTTGGAGAGTAAATATTGGATTCTAATAAGTCATAATGGAAATTAATATAAAACCAATGTGACTGTAATCCCAGCTGTGAATTGTGTAACACTTGCTGCCTTATTGTTGTTGTTGTTTTTTATGTTGTTTTATGGGAATTATCAACCCACTTCACTGTGATATAAGGATGATAGACCTGTTTGTGTCTTATTTAGTGATGTTAAATAAAGGATTACTCTTTAATTTTGGGGTTGTTATTTAATATTTTAAAGGGCCATGAAACCCCCTGTCTCATCAGGGTGTTTTCACACTTCTAGTCTAAAGTCAGGAAAGTGGGTGAGTCCAGTTTTGTTTAGGTGGGAGTGTCGAGTGGCAAAATAGGTGGGGTTTGCATGAAAAGAGGAGTTACGTTATGTGCACAACAGCTAATTTTCACACTGGCAACACAAACACTTTGCGATTTGGAGAGCAGCAGATCTAAGGCCCCGTTTACACTAATATGTTTTCATTTTAAAACGCATGTTTTGCTACGGTTTTGCCTTTTGTCCACACTACCCCTGAGTTTTTTGAGCGCCGAAAAAATG